CTTCAAGTTGGATTGTGGTTGAGTGGTGTGAGTAAACGGTTTTCAGTTACTAAATCATTATTTCAACCATCTATCTGTTGACTAAAATTTCAAAAGTCAAATACTATACAGAAGCCCACAGAATGAATGTGACTAACAGACACATTTATCTCTATAGACTTTCGGAGCAAGATTTGACCAGCTAGAGTTGAATAAATTGAGCAACGGGTGAATGGATCATCACTGAACTATATTTGTAAAAATTCCGATGACGTAAAAAAAATTCTTTTTCCGACGTTTCGCGACCCTCTTGGAAGTCACTTTTTCAGAGAATAAAACTGTGAGCGAATAAAATTTCTCATATATTTTAGTAGTAAGTGGCGACATTGATCTTTACTTCTGAGTTGCATGGTCTCAAGAAGAATTGATATCATTCTGTAGACTAGATCAGCGATTGATACCTGAGCAGTTTTACATCACCGGTTAAATCACATTCATAAAACTAAACGACTTAAAGCTGATGGATTTAAAAAATTTAAGTCTAAGTAAGTGAACACACCTTGATTGCGGCTTGTTACAGGTCAGATAAGCTGGGAAATAAAATGTTCTACCAGTGATGTGAATAAAGAAACACAAACCCCTCAAAGAGCCCAATCTTGTGAGTTGCAATGAAGACAACTTGGTTTTGATCTCTAATATACCGAAAGATTTATGATGAAATTCCTTATAATCCAACTCTACAGACAACTGCAATTAGTAACAAACAAGACCCCTCCCCACTTGGTGACATCAAAATTCATTCCAACGGGTGGGGTGACATGAATGCCAAACTCGGAGCAGACAACACACGAAGAGAACCAATCATGGGTCAAGAGGCACTCGGTGAAATTAATGAGAACGGAGAACTGTTTGCAGACTTCTGTGCACTCAACAATTTGGTGATTGGAGTCAGGCAGTGTGTACAAACACAAGGATAGTCACAAAGCGACATGGATTTGATCTTACTAGATGGACACACTACACTAAAAATCAGATCGACTTCATCTCAATCTCAAGAAAGTGGAGACGCAACCCACTGGACACAAGATCAGATCGAGAAGAGGAGCAGATGTAGGTCGTTCACATCACTCACTATCTAGTCCAAGAAACCTACCTACAACATCAAGTTGAAAGCATTCACACAAGTTAGTGATGATTGAACACAGTTCACGTCCAACACGCAGAACACAAACTGAAGCATGAAACTACAAAGGACATCTTCACGTCGTCAGTCATCAGAACAAAATAGGAGACATTGAGCAACATCCCTGAAGAAATCCGAGTAGAAGAACAGTGGTACTCTTTGGAAGAGATGTGGAAAGAAACCTGCATAACCATACTAGGAAGGAAGAAACAAGACAAGGAATGGAGTTGCTCTCGACGGACACATAGAAGCTGATAGAGCAGGAAGAGGAAGATAGTGAAGCAGAAAATGAACCAGTGCAGTGAAGTGCAGTGCAACGCAGCTCAGGGGTGAACAACGAAAAGATGAACTGAACACAACCTATAAAACACTACACTGGACAAAGAAGTGAAGAAGAGTGAACGCGCAAAAACAAAAGACACTTACTTCTACGACACATCGGCAAGTGAAGCAGAACAGGCTACAGGTAGGAGACATCTGACAGCATCATACCAAATAACCAAAATACTATCTGGGAAGAGATTAACACAGACAAAACCAATGAAAGATAGTGAAGGAGACCCAGCTACCAAAGAGGAGGAACAAACGAAACAATGGGTTGATCACTTCAAAAATCTCTTGAATCGACCACCACCACCACCACCATCTGCAACTCGTCCAGAAATATCACCAGCAACCACAGAATTACCAGTGAACACAAGCCCTACGAGAAAAAAAGCAGGACTGAAGTCATGAACGCCAAGCAATAAAGTTCCTGAAATCCGAGTAAGCAGCAGGACCAGATGCAATTCCTCCAGAAACACTGAAAACAGACACACAGACAACAGTGGACATGCTCACACTACTACTGCAGAAGGTTGCCAAGGAAGGAACAAAAGGTACCTGTCCATTGATAGGAAGAAGGGCTACCTTGTCAAACTTCCAAAGAAGGGAGACATAAGCCTGTGCAAGAACTGTCATGGAATCATGCTGCTGTCCACCCCAAGCAAGCAAAATATTATGCCACATTAGAGTGGAGAGACTAAAAGATGCGCTCGATTCAAAATTACGACCGAAACAGGCTGGCTGGCTGGCTGGCTTCTGGAAGTACAAATCATGTGCGGAACAAATTGCAACGCTACGCATTATCATAGGACAGAACATAGAATGGTAGTCAACTCTCAACCTCAACTTCATCGACTTTGAAAACACCTTCGACAGCGTCGACCGAGAACTAATTTGGCAGTTGCTTCAACACTACGGTTCTAGTGCCACTAATCTTTACCAACCTCATTCAACAGCTATATGAAGACGCCATATGCCAAGTGATCCACAATGGAAAGCTCAGTGATGCCTTTGAAGTGGAGACAGGAGTATGACAAGGCTGACGTCCAAGACCACTGATCATCTCTCTGATTGTGGTGGGCTGGACTGGATCACGCAGCAAACCGTGAGGAGTGAGAAGATGGGCATACGCTGCTGGACTGATGAAAAGACCCTAGAAGATTTGGATTTCACCCATGATGGTGATTTATGTCTAATGTCTTGTCGCACAAACTCGAAGATCTACAGGCCAAAACTAACAAGTTTACAGAAGAGTCGGGGGAAACAGGACTTCAAGTGTATGTAGAGAAGATAGAGGTGATGAGGATACCCAACCAACAGCAACAACAACAACAAGCACCAATCACCATCAACGGGAGAAACTTAAAGGAAGCTATCTCTTTCACCTACCTACTCACGAAGGCAGCATCACTCCAACCACAGGCGACACAGGCACACATCAGGACATCAAAACCACGATCGGAAAAGCAAGGTAGGCACTCATTTACCTGAAATCAGTGTGCAGATCTACTGCACTACACTTCACTCAGCATAAAGCGTGAACAACATCCAGATTTTCAACACCAATGTCAGTCAAGTCAGTGTTTCTATGTGGTAGTTCAGAGACTTGGCGCGTCACCAAAAGCACCTCCAACAAACTACAGACATTCATCAACAGCTGCCGCCTACGCTAGCTCACTCGATACTGAAGATGAGATCAGATGGCCAGAATAATAAGAATAAGCAAGGAGGAACTCTGGGAACGAACCAACCAGGAACCTATAGCCCAACAAACATGCAGAAGAAAGCGCAGATGGATTAGATTGGACATACACTGAGAAAACCATTCAAGGACATCACGCGCCAGACCAAGCCCTCGAGTGGAATCCAAAGGGGAAATGACGAGTTGGGCGTTCGAGGCGAGGGTGACATGGAGGAGATCATGTGAGGAAGAAACGAGAGCTTGTGGGCAGTGGTGGAGCCAGGTTCAAAAGACTGCCGAGAACAGAGTGCAATGGTGATGTGCTACTGAAGCCCCATGTTCTACTAGGAACGCAAGGGATATTATATGTATATGAAAGGAAGAATGAACCACAATATGAATGAGGTCTTCGAAATTGGTGGTACAGGTTGAAGGATGCAAAACATACTCATTCAGAGGTTTGCGGGATCGGTTGGATATTCGAGACAGAATATTGGAGTAATTAACATGAAAACTTCTTTGGTGATCGTTAGACTTAGTAGTAAATTGTGGTAGGGAAATGTCTATTTCATAAAAGATGAACGGTTTTTAAAAATCAGTTTTTACTCTCACAACCCTACAACCTGATGCGCTAAACTTTCCTTGTCATAGTTGTAACCAGGCAAATACGACACGCGCTGTGAGAAAGACAAATGTTACTAATACCATTATATTATTACAACTACTGTTGCCAGTATTATGATGGTAGTATTTGAGAGTTGATACATGTATTTATCACGACTTACCTGAAGCCGTCAAACTGTCACCTCGACAATAGGTGAAACGTAGTTCTCTGGGTTTAAGGTTTCCAATTCTTACCAAATCTGCATCAGTTAAATTGCGTTGCCGGTGTAAATGAATAACTCGCCATAGTGAATGGTCCATTGATAGTCTGGATAGATGTCGACAGGTTTGAGCAACACGAACTCGATCTACCGGACTCACGAGTCGTAGGACTTCAAGCCATAATTCATCTGGTAGCAACAACCAGTTCGGAACAACTTCAGTCTTATTCACTAGATCAGCATGGAAATTGAGTGGAATTACCTATTTTTTTAAAAACATTTGCGAATTATTATGTGGCACAGATGCATTAATGTGAATACTTACAGGGACTGTAAATCAAGACTATGTATGCAGTAGAAATTAATTAGTACTTTAAATTACTTTCATGCTTATGTACAGAAATGTTGTATCTGAGTTTTTGTTTACTCTAAATGACTGTTATGCGAACTAAATGAAAATAGGACTCATTCATGTAACGCAGTAATACAGAGTTATGTCTCATTAAAACGCATAATAAACGAGGCTAACAAACCAACAAGGTCATGCAACGATAAATAAATTAGTGAAAGATTTGATGATAAGTCAAATAGACATTATAATGATTGAAGTTGCTGAAAAACGGATGTTCTCTTCATTTATTCCAATGGTTATGATCTTATAAGCTTTAGTAAATGATATCATCTAAAAAGAAATTTTCTTCGCCAAATTATCTTTCACCTTCTTTATTCATGAATAAGCTGCCAGTGGAGATAGATACTTTCTCACGTAACTGGAATGTAGTCGACAGTAAGACGAAAACATGGATGATAGTTACAGAGTTAGAACAAAAAGACCGGTCTAGGTTTTTGTTTCACCAACAATAACCATTCCGTTACATAGAATTGACTTCCTCGATCATATTTGATGCGAAAATCTGTTCCAACCCAACATTTAAACCAATAATTAAAACAGCCAAACACTCATTGTATTTATACTGAGTAATGATTGAAGGTGAAATGAAAATTTAAACCGCGGCCGGATTCCAACCAGCAACCATCCGGTTTCCAGTCCGATGAGCTACGAGGTTCAAATACTCATTGACTGGTCACTGTAGAGTAACCAAGTTCATATTGTCTAGCCCTGAGTGCTAATTGAATTCAGTCGATCATTTTGGAATGTGGCCACCAAGCTAGGAGGCTTAACATCGCGGATGTTAGTTGATAGGAGGTAATTGGCCGGAATCGTCTTGTTTGACTTAGGTTTCGTGTTAATCAGCACTCGTTAGCAAGGCATATCAGCAACAAAAACAATTACAGAGTCTACTTAATCTAGTTACATAAAATCTTAGCCGAACAAACCACGGTTACCTCGGATATTCTTATCAAAAATGAATGCTATACCTAATAAATCTACCTTTCGGTTGGATGATATTGCCTAATGCCAACTCATAAACTGAGCATCTGGAAGAGTTGAAGCCCAGTTGAAATGTTCTTCGACATATTGCACACGTAGTTTAAGTCATTTCTTTTCCTTTTTCCGAAGGGTAATAATAATGAGAATTTAGTACATGAAATATATATATAGATCTAACACCTGACCACAAAGTGGAATATAAGTGAATAAACTTTGCCTTTTTTAAGTTCATTTGTTGATTAAATTTAGTCTAATACAATTTAACATGGAGCTATGACTTATTGGATTAGACACTTAACACTCATTCAATGGGGCTATGCGTTCAAACTCAATTCCAACAGGGATTTAGGCAACCAGGTAGCATTGATATTCCTCCCACTAATAGGTGTGGTTCACTGCTTAGTATATAAACCTGCATATGGTTATTGGACAGAACTTAAGAACAAAAGTACACCCAAAGAACGTATCACCTTCATCATGTTGAGAGGAAGATAGAGAGTAAAACTGAACATGATTCCGAACATCTCCAGATGGTGTGATCTACATCACCATAGTAAACACGGGCCAAGGTGAAAGGCTTTACCTATAAAATTACAATTTCTATAAATCCACAAAAACAAGTTGTTTCATTTGCTTTGTTTTGGGTCAATGCTAACAGTTGGTAATAAAAACAACTATTCTCTCTTCTTTAATCTCAGTTCTTAAAGCTATTTCACAAAAAAAACTCATTATGTAGCAAATTATCTTCAACTTTGATACTGCAGTTTTGTTTAGTAAAATAAACCATTTAGAATAATACTGATAAATTTAGTAAACAACCGAGGCTAAATAAATAAATATGAGATCACTCCATATGGTAGCCTATGTAGTCAGTCATGCTCGCGCTGACTTAAGTCAAGGTGACGTGAATTTGTGGTGCATTGCATTTCGGTGATAGATGCTAAAAATTAATCGATAGGAAGCCCTTCCTCTTGACTTAAGCTCATGAATACACGAGAAGCTGTGGCTCAGTGGTTTGGAAAGATAACTATCGACTGGTGGGTCGCGGATTCGAACCCCGCTCTATCTAAGGAGGTTTGCGCAGTATCAGTAGCCCTCAGGCGATAGGTGTGGCTCATTGCCTACTGTACGGATGTGCGCAAGGTCGTTGAGTGGATTTCGTTTGTTCGTTAGTATATGAACAAGATATAGGGTGGAGATTTAGATAAACTCCCTCGGAAGTTTGAGATTATTTATACCCTAATAGTTTGAACAGCTTAATGGTTAAATATCTGGTTCTATCTGGTTGCATGGTTGTACACTCGCCCTAATGGTGACTGCTAACAACGACAAAATATAGGTCTAGGGCTTCCTGCCGATTGACTCCTTAAAACTGACAATAAAATCACAAGTAGGAGAAGACAGTTTTAACTGTTGTACAGCACTGGCTTTATAAAAAATTAGAAATACGAAATTCTACATTGAACAATACCTCTTTCGGTAGATTGGCAACGGAATCTGTTATTTCTGTGCTATCCATACAAATACTTAGACTTTTTGATAAATGGCCTCGATTTCGTCTTGTTGGATGAGAACGACTCAATTTTGAATACTTATCGACCCACTCTGAGCGATTATGTATAGATGATTTGAGAGTGTTGTTCGATGATTCGCCTCTTTGGCTGAATGCAGAGCTGTTTGCACATGATACAGGTAATCGTTGAGATGTGTCCGACTGTGTGTTTGATTTACTCTGTTTCCTGTAGTAAAAATGAACAAAAGGATTAATAAAATAAACACGGTATTGAAGTACTTTGAGTAACATGGATACGAACCATAACCGCAGGTTTTTGTTGTCTGCCACCAGAACCTTAACTGGGAATTCAACATTTCCCAATACAGCTCATACCAACAGTCAAAAACTACACGGACTCAAGCCATCTTTAAGTCTGGCCGTCCTGAACTTACTTCAAGCAGACGGTGACTAGGCAAAATTAACATATGTCCCAGTTGTCTGGGTCGATGAAGGATCATAACATCATCTAATGACTTTCCCCTCTCAACTCGAACTCACGCAGTCACGTAAGGGCTAATGAAAGATGGTCATGTAAATTGGCCACAACCAATGGTGCCCGCCAGGGACATCCACTGTAATTGTTCCTATCTAACTTTGTCATAGATCTACTAATGGACATCACCTTAAGTACGTTTGACTTCAAAGTGATTGACCTACTCCCAGGAGGTTGTCTGATTAACTTGGTGTATGTAGACAATATTGTGTTGTTCATCATCATCATTATCAACATAGGACCAGGCATTACTGCGTAACGGTCCGAGTTGCCACACCTCATATCAGCACAGCAAGTAAAAAGGTAGTGAGGTGAAGGACGAAGATAAGAGGATGCAGTCAAAAGAAATATTGAGTACGAGAAGGAAGGAAAGAGGAGTGACAAAATAGTGAGATTCGGTATAGCGTTGTTAAGATGAGGATAATGTGTGTATACATCTGCGCCACTGACTTCGGTTCTGAGCCATATCACCTAGGGTCTCCAACCACTAGTTCCTCTTGTCCCGTGGACCCCAACCACCTAGTCTGCATCGTCCTACATGGCTTAAACCAACAGTCAGAGACTTCATACATTGGTGCCATGTTTTAGTCTGGCCACCTCGGGCCTTTTTCCAGCCTGGACCAACCTCAGCCAACATTGTGTGACGAGGCAATCGGTGACTAGGCATACGTAGTACGTGTCCCAACCATCTTAGTGAACCTTCATCGACTGAGATGGTTGGGACACGTACTACGTATGCCTAGTTGTCGATTGCCTCGTCACACAATGTTGGCTGAGGTTGGTCCAGGCTGGAAAAAGGCCCGAGGTGGCCAGACTAAAACATGGCACCAATGTATGAAGTCTCTGACTGTTGGTTTAAGCCATGTAGGACGATGCAGACTAGGTGGTTGGGGTCCACGGGACAAGAGGAACCAGTGGTTGGAGACCCTAGGTGATATGGCTCAGAACCGAAGTCAGTGGCGCAGATGTATACACACATTATCCTCATCTTAACAACGCTATACCGAATCTCACTATTTTGTCACTCCTCTTTCCTTCCTTCTCGTACTCAATATTTCTTTTGACTGCATCCTCTTATCTTCGTCCTTCACCTCACTACCTTTTTACTTGCTGTGCTGATATGAGGTGTGGCAACTCGGACCGTTACGCAGTAATGCCTGGTCCTATGTTGATAATGATGATGATGAACAACACAATATTGTCTACATACACCAAGTTAATCAGACAACCTCCTGGGAGTAGGTCAATCACTTTGAAGTCAAACGTACTTAAGGTGATGTCCATTAGTAGATCTATGACAAAGTTAGATAGGAACAATTACAGTGGATGTCCCTGGCGGGCACCATTGGTTGTGGCCAATTTACATGACCATCTTTCATTAGCCCTTACGTGACTGCGTGAGTTCGAGTTGAGAGGGGAAAGTCATTAGATGATGTTATGATCCTTCATCGACCCAGACAACTGGGACATATGTTAATTTTGCCTAGTCACCGTCTGCTTGAAGTAAGTTCAGGACGGCCAGACTTAAAGATGGCTTGAGTCCGTGTAGTTTTTGACTGTTGGTATGAGCTGTATTGGGAAATGTTGAATTCCCAGTTAAGGTTCTGGTGGCAGACAACAAAAACCTGCGGTTATGGTTCGTATCCATGTTACTCAAAGTACTTCAATACCGTGTTTATTTTATTAATCCTTTTGTTCATTTTTACTACAGGAAACAGAGTAAATCAAACACACAGTCGGACACATCTCAACGATTACCTGTATCATGTGCAAACAGCTCTGCATTCAGCCAAAGAGGCGAATCATCGAACAACACTCTCAAATCATCTATACATAATCGCTCAGAGTGGGTCGATAAGTATTCAAAATTGAGTCGTTCTCATCCAACAAGACGAAATCGAGGCCATTTATCAAAAAGTCTAAGTATTTGTATGGATAGCACAGAAATAACAGATTCCGTTGCCAATCTACCGAAAGAGGTATTGTTCAATGTAGAATTTCGTATTTCTAATTTTTTATAAAGCCAGTGCTGTACAACAGTTAAAACTGTCTTCTCCTACTTGTGATTTTATTGTCAGTTTTAAGGAGTCAATCGGCAGGAAGCCCTAGACCTATATTTTGTCGTTGTTAGCAGTCACCATTAGGGCGAGTGTACAACCATGCAACCAGATAGAACCAGATATTTAACCATTAAGCTGTTCAAACTATTAGGGTATAAATAATCTCAAACTTCCGAGGGAGTTTATCTAAATCTCCACCCTATATCTTGTTCATATACTAACGAACAAACGAAATCCACTCAACGACCTTGCGCACATCCGTACAGTAGGCAATGAGCCACACCTATCGCCTGAGGGCTACTGATACTGCGCAAACCTCCTTAGATAGAGCGGGGTTCGAATCCGCGACCCACCAGTCGATAGTTATCTTTCCAAACCACTGAGCCACAGCTTCTCGTGTATTCATGAGCTTAAGTCAAGAGGAAGGGCTTCCTATCGATTAATTTTTAGCATCTATCACCGAAATGCAATGCACCACAAATTCACGTCACCTTGACTTAAGTCAGCGCGAGCATGACTGACTACATAGGCTACCATATGGAGTGATCTCATATTTATTTATTTAGCCTCGGTTGTTTACTAAATTTATCAGTATTATTCTAAATGGTTTATTTTACTAAACAAAACTGCAGTATCAAAGTTGAAGATAATTTGCTACATAATGAGTTTTTTTTGTGAAATAGCTTTAAGAACTGAGATTAAAGAAGAGAGAATAGTTGTTTTTATTACCAACTGTTAGCATTGACCCAAAACAAAGCAAATGAAACAACTTGTTTTTGTGGATTTATAGAAATTGTAATTTTATAGGTAAAGCCTTTCACCTTGGCCCGTGTTTACTATGGTGATGTAGATCACACCATCTGGAGATGTTCGGAATCATGTTCAGTTTTACTCTCTATCTTCCTCTCAACATGATGAAGGTGATACGTTCTTTGGGTGTACTTTTGTTCTTAAGTTCTGTCCAATAACCATATGCAGGTTTATATACTAAGCAGTGAACCACACCTATTAGTGGGAGGAATATCAATGCTACCTGGTTGCCTAAATCCCTGTTGGAATTGAGTTTGAACGCATAGCCCCATTGAATGAGTGTTAAGTGTCTAATCCAATAAGTCATAGCTCCATGTTAAATTGTATTAGACTAAATTTAATCAACAAATGAACTTAAAAAAGGCAAAGTTTATTCACTTATATTCCACTTTGTGGTCAGGTGTTAGATCTATATATATATTTCATGTACTAAATTCTCATTATTATTACCCTTCGGAAAAAGGAAAAGAAATGACTTAAACTACGTGTGCAATATGTCGAAGAACATTTCAACTGGGCTTCAACTCTTCCAGATGCTCAGTTTATGAGTTGGCATTAGGCAATATCATCCAACCGAAAGGTAGATTTATTAGGTATAGCATTCATTTTTGATAAGAATATCCGAGGTAACCGTGGTTTGTTCGGCTAAGATTTTATGTAACTAGATTAAGTAGACTCTGTAATTGTTTTTGTTGCTGATATGCCTTGCTAACGAGTGCTGATTAACACGAAACCTAAGTCAAACAAGACGATTCCGGCCAATTACCTCCTATCAACTAACATCCGCGATGTTAAGCCTCCTAGCTTGGTGGCCACATTCCAAAATGATCGACTGAATTCAATTAGCACTCAGGGCTAGACAATATGAACTTGGTTACTCTACAGTGACCAGTCAATGAGTATTTGAACCTCGTAGCTCATCGGACTGGAAACCGGATGGTTGCTGGTTGGAATCCGGCCGCGGTTTAAATTTTCATTTCACCTTCAATCATTACTCAGTATAAATACAATGAGTGTTTGGCTGTTTTAATTATTGGTTTAAATGTTGGGTTGGAACAGATTTTCGCATCAAATATGATCGAGGAAGTCAATTCTATGTAACGGAATGGTTATTGTTGGTGAAACAAAAACCTAGACCGGTCTTTTTGTTCTAACTCTGTAACTATCATCCATGTTTTCGTCTTACTGTCGACTACATTCCAGTTACGTGAGAAAGTATCTATCTCCACTGGCAGCTTATTCATGAATAAAGAAGGTGAAAGATAATTTGGCGAAGAAAATTTCTTTTTAGATGATATCATTTACTAAAGCTTATAAGATCATAACCATTGGAATAAATGAAGAGAACATCCGTTTTTCAGCAACTTCAATCATTATAATGTCTATTTGACTTATCATCAAATCTTTCACTAATTTATTTATCGTTGCATGACCTTGTTGGTTTGTTAGCCTCGTTTATTATGCGTTTTAATGAGACATAACTCTGTATTACTGCGTTACATGAATGAGTCCTATTTTCATTTAGTTCGCATAACAGTCATTTAGAGTAAACAAAAACTCAGATACAACATTTCTGTACATAAGCATGAAAGTAATTTAAAGTACTAATTAATTTCTACTGCATACATAGTCTTGATTTACAGTCCCTGTAAGTATTCACATTAATGCATCTGTGCCACATAATAATTCGCAAATGTTTTTAAAAAAATAGGTAATTCCACTCAATTTCCATGCTGATCTAGTGAATAAGACTGAAGTTGTTCCGAACTGGTTGTTGCTACCAGATGAATTATGGCTTGAAGTCCTACGACTCGTGAGTCCGGTAGATCGAGTTCGTGTTGCTCAAACCTGTCGACATCTATCCAGACTATCAATGGACCATTCACTATGGCGAGTTATTCATTTACACCGGCAACGCAATTTAACTGATGCAGATTTGGTAAGAATTGGAAACCTTAAACCCAGAGAACTACGTTTCACCTATTGTCGAGGTGACAGTTTGACGGCTTCAGGTAAGTCGTGATAAATACATGTATCAACTCTCAAATACTACCATCATAATACTGGCAACAGTAGTTGTAATAATATAATGGTATTAGTAACATTTGTCTTTCTCACAGCGCGTGTCGTATTTGCCTGGTTACAACTATGACAAGGAAAGTTTAGCGCATCAGGTTGTAGGGTTGTGAGAGTAAAAACTGATTTTTAAAAACCGTTCATCTTTTATGAAATAGACATTTCCCTACCACAATTTACTACTAAGTCTAACGATCACCAAAGAAGTTTTCATGTTAATTACTCCAATATTCTGTCTCGAATATCCAACCGATCCCGCAAACCTCTGAATGAGTATGTTTTGCATCCTTCAACCTGTACCACCAATTTCGAAGACCTCATTCATATTGTGGTTCATTCTTCCTTTCATATACATATAATATCCCTTGCGTTCCTAGTAGAACATGGGGCTTCAGTAGCACATCACCATTGCACTCTGTTCTCGGCAGTCTTTTGAACCTGGCTCCACCACTGCCCACAAGCTCTCGTTTCTTCCTCACATGATCTCCTCCATGTCACCCTCGCCTCGAACGCCCAACTCGTCATTTCCCCTTTGGATTCCACTCGAGGGCTTGGTCTGGCGCGTGATGTCCTTGAATGGTTTTCTCAGTGTATGTCCAATCTAATCCATCTGCGCTTTCTTCTGCATGTTTGTTGGGCTATAGGTTCCTGGTTGGTTCGTTCCCAGAGTTCCTCCTTGCTTATTCTTATTATTCTGGCCATCTGATCTCATCTTCAGTATCGAGTGAGCTAGCGTAGGCGGCAGCTGTTGATGAATGTCTGTAGTTTGTTGGAGGTGCTTTTGGTGACGCGCCAAGTCTCTGAACTACCACATAGAAACACTGACTTGACTGACATTGGTGTTGAAAATCTGGATGTTGTTCACGCTTTATGCTGAGTGAAGTGTAGTGCAGTAGATCTGCACACTGATTTCAGGTAAATGAGTGCCTACCTTGCTTTTCCGATCGTGGTTTTGATGTCCTGATGTGTGCCTGTGTCGCCTGTGGTTGGAGTGATGCTGCCTTCGTGAGTAGGTAGGTGAAAGAGATAGCTTCCTTTAAGTTTCTCCCGTTGATGGTGATTGGTGCTTGTTGTTGTTGTTGCTGTTGGTTGGGTATCCTCATCACCTCTATCTTCTCTACATACACTTGAAGTCCTGTTTCCCCCGACTCTTCTGTAAACTTGTTAGTTTTGGCCTGTAGATCTTCGAGTTTGTGCGACAAGACATTAGACATAAATCACCATCATGGGTGAAATCCAAATCTTCTAGGGTCTTTTCATCAGTCCAGCAGCGTATGCCCATCTTCTCACTCCTCACGGTTTGCTGCGTGATCCAGTCCAGCCCACCACAATCAGAGAGATGATCAGTGGTCTTGGACGTCAGCCTTGTCATACTCCTGTCTCCACTTCAAAGGCATCACTGAGCTTTCCATTGTGGATCACTTGGCATATGGCGTCTTCATATAGCTGTTGAATGAGGTTGGTAAAGATTAGTGGCACTAGAACCGTAGTGTTGAAGCAACTGCCAAATTAGTTCTCGGTCGACGCTGTCGAAGGTGTTTTCAAAGTCGATGAAGTTGAGGTTGAGAGTTGACTACCATTCTATGTTCTGTCCTATGATAATGCGTAGCGTTGCAATTTGTTCCGCACATGATTTGTACTTCCAGAAGCCAGCCAGCCAGCCAGCCTGTTTCGGTCGTAATTTTGAATCGAGCGCATCTTTTAGTCTCTCCACTCTAATGTGGCATAATATTTTGCTTGCTTGGGGTGGACAGCAGCATGATTCCATGACAGTTCTTGCACAGGCTTATGTCTCCCTTCTTTGGAAGTTTGACAAGGTAGCCCTTCTTCCTATCAATGGACAGGTACCTTTTGTTCCTTCCTTGGCAACCTTCTGCAGTAGTAGTGTGAGCATGTCCACTGTTGTCTGTGTGTCTGTTTTCAGTGTTTCTGGAGGAATTGCATCTGGTCCTGCTGCTTACTCGGATTTCAGGAACTTTATTGCTTGGCGTTCATGACTTCAGTCCTGCTTTTTTTCTCGTAGGGCTTGTGTTCACTGGTAATTCTGTGGTTGCTGGTGATATTTCTGGACGAGTTGCAGATGGTGGTGGTGGTGGTGGTCGATTCAAGAGATTTTTGAAGTGATCAACCCATTGTTTCGTTTGTTCCTCCTCTTTGGTAGCTGGGTCTCCTTCACTATCTTTCATTGGTTTTGTCTGTGTTAATCTCTTCCCAGATAGTATTTTGGTTATTTGGTATGATGCTGTCAGATGTCTCCTACCTGTAGCCTGTTCTGCTTCACTTGCCGATGTGTCGTAGAAGTAAGTGTCTTTTGTTTTTGCGCGTTCACTCTTCTTCACTTCTTTGTCCAGTGTAGTGTTTTATAGGTTGTGTTCAGTTCATCTTTTCGTTGTTCACCCCTGAGCTGCGTTGCACTGCACTTCACTGCACTGGTTCATTTTCTGCTTCACTATCTTCCTCTTCCTGCTCTATCAGCTTCTATGTGTCCGTCGAGAGCAACTCCATTCCTTGTCTTGTTTCTTCCTTCCTAGTATGGTTATGCAGGTTTCTTTCCACATCTCTTCCAAAGAGTACCACTGTTCTTCTACTCGGATTTCTTCAGGGATGTTGCTCAATGTCTCCTATTTTGTTCTGATGACTGACGACGTGAAGATGTCCTTTGTAGTTTCATGCTTCAGTTTGTGTTCTGCGTGTTGGACGTGAACTGTGTTCAATCATCACTAACTTGTGTGAATGCTTTCAACTTGATGTTGTAGGTAGGTTTCTTGGACTAGATAGTGAGTGATGTGAACGACCTACATCTGCTCCTCTTCTCGATCTGATCTTGTGTCCAGTGGGTTGCGTCTCCACTTTCTTGAGATTGAGATGAAGTCGATCTGATTTTTAGTGTAGTGTGTCCATCTAGTAAGATCAAATCCATGTCGCTTTGTGACTATCCTTGTGTTTGTACACACTGCCTGACTCCAATCACCAAATTGTTGAGTGCACAGAAGTCTGCAAACAGTTCTCCGTTCTCATTAATTTCACCGAGTGCCTCTTGACCCATGATTGGTTCTCTTCGTGTGTTGTCTGCTCCGAGTTTGGCATTCATGTCACCCCACCCGTTGGAATGAATTTTGATGTCACCAAGTGGGGAGGGGTCTTGTTTGTTACTAATTGCAGTTGTCTGTAGAGTTGGATTATAAGGAATTTCATCATAAATCTTTCGGTATATTAGAGATCAAAACCAAGTTGTCTTCATTGCAACTCACAAGATTGGGCTCTTTGAGGGGTTTGTGTTTCTTTATTCACATCACTGGTAGAACATTTTATTTCCCAGCTTATCTGACCTGTAACAAGCCGCAATCAAGGTGTGTTCACTTACTTAGACTTAAATTTTTTAAATCCATCAGCTTTAAGTCGTTTAGTTTTATGAATGTGATTTAACCGGTGATGTAAAACTGCTCAGGTATCAATCGCTGATCTAGTCTACAGAATGATATCAATTCTTCTTGAGACCATGCAACTCAGAAGTAAAGATCAATGTCGCCACTTACTACTAAAATATATGAGAAATTTTATTCGCTCACAGTTTTATTCTCTGAAAAAGTGACTTCCAAGAGGGTCGCGAAACGTCGGAAAAAGAATTTTTTTTACGTCATCGGAATTTTTACAAATATAGTTCAGTGATGATCCATTCACCCGTTGCTCAATTTATTCAACTCTAGCTGGTCAAATCTTGCTCCGAAAGTCTATAGAGATAAATGTGTCTGTTAGTCACATTCATTCTGTGGGCTTCTGTATAGTATTTGACTTTTGAAATTTTAGTCAACAGATAGATGGTTGAAATAATGATTTAGTAACTGAAAACCGTTTACTCACACCACTCAACCACAATCCAACTTGAAGCGCATGAACCTACGCACTTGGTTATGAAGTTTCATAACTAAGATTTGTTACATTTAAAACTTTTCTAACGTTGTAAAAATGTAATGAATGACTTTAAAGCCCACTCTAGCAACTGCTAAACTAACCAATTAGCTATCTTCATTTGATTAAAAAATTACCTTTCTAGCCGAAATGGAGAAATTTAATCGGTTATTATTTCAGTGGTTGCTGGAGTAGCCTTTAGAGTAACCCAGTCTAATCTGTGCATGCTTGTTTCATTTCAGGATTGAAACGTATGTTTCTTGTTTGTGGTCCAGGATTGCAAAAGTTATCTTTAATTGGTTGCACTAAAGGACCATTTGATCATGATCTACCGCTTCGGCTAGTTGCAGATCACTGTCATAATCTAAAACATGTCAATGCTAGTTATACACAAGCAGTACGTGATCAAACTGTTATTGCTCTAGCCAAATCTGCTACACATTTAATCAGTGTAAAGCTAAATGGTGCACAACAAATAAGTAATGCTGCTATCCAACAGTTGGTTCATTATCATCAACGTACTCTTGTAAGTAGATTAGTAAATAATTACTACACCACACTCACTAATGTTAACAGCTTTTTTATGTTTACAAAGTTAAACTGCTCTAGGCATGATTTATTTCAACAGGACCAGAGAGTAATTCCTTCTATCAATCATGGTTCTACAACTAATGTCAGTCTATGAGAAACAGGAACTTGAAACCAATAAAATACCCTTACAAACCGTTAAACTGAATTACTGTCCAATGCTCAGTCGCGACCAGTGGAGTAAACCAAGTCGGACGTAAAGACAGGCAATCAACAATGGTGTTGGATGGAGTTCGCGCTAGATCACGAGTGGACAGAAGGAAGAAAATATGGGCTACTGGATTCTGACCGAGTGAATCAATGCTAACGTGCTTACAGTAGAACCTGAAGGTCGTGGGTTCGATCTCTCACTGGTTCATGAGTGCACATTGCTGAAGAGTCTCGTGCTAGAACGAAACAGCTATCTAGTGCCTCCAGATTTTCAATGGTCCCCCAACTGATGTCAGTCTTTGACGAACGCCAACTTGAAATCGTTAAAATCTCACAAACCTGCAAATTGAAGTACTCCTTGTTATCAGTCTAGTTGTATTGTGCCTAATGTTATCATTATTACCACATATTACCATCTTTAATTTTTAGTTACACTTGATTTTATGCCGAAATTTATCATAAGTGATGTCGTACCATGAGGGTTATTTTAACCAGTTGTACAGCAAGCTGCAACTAGTGGTCGTACTTCCGCTTGTTGTAGTAAAATGTTTCATGCTCGGAACCGTAAGCAAAAGCATGTGTTGCGCACACTCATCTCTGAGTGTAGAAGAATAAGAATGAGGCAAACTGTCACCCAACAGCATTATTACAGTTTCGTACTAAGTGGCAAACGTTTATCATATTTATATGTTGTTATGAATGGTAGCAATAGTATGGAATCTTCTGTTCTCGTAAAAGTACAGATGTTTTAGAAACTGTATACTGCCATACATGTGTAATTATCTCCATTCTCTTTATCCTCATACTTGACTATGCCCTATTTCCATAGCTCTGTTAACCGTTCGCTTTGGAATAGGAGTATATTAAGTTTACTCCCACTGTTTCAACTATTGGTTTTGACCCGTATGCTGTTAAAGTCCAAGTCAGTCTTTTTGTTTTGTATGTTCTTAGACATTATACAACACTAGAAACCGAGAGGTTGGAAACATTAAGTGACACTTTCTCAGCATATTTACTGCTTAAATTCCTTCTACTCTTGAATATCGTATCTCTCAACTCCTCAGTTGCTTTATATGACGCTAGGTACCTTCGACTCCACAAGGATTGATTTACTCTCAGGAGTGCACCTGGTTTACTTGGAGAAGGCAGACGACTCCCCTTGTTAAATGAAGACCCTAACAACACCCTAAGTCTTCTAAACGCATTGGATAGAAATATGAGTATAGTTGGCATATACTTTGCAACTGTCAGGTTTGAGATTATGTGTTAGAACTGGTCTGCATCAACTTCTAGTTTAATGATTAAGATTAAAGTGGTTGAATGCACTGACCACTTCATTGCTCAGGAAGCTGCATCAGCCTAAATCGGTTGGTTGTAGACGAAATCTCAGGTCGAATACATAAGGCTAGTTTAACATTTGCCGACTTGTGTTATCTCTGGCTGTCGACCGACGATATATCCGACTAATTAAAGGACGAATATACTGTGCAGCAGTCCACTCTGTCCTACTATACGGCTGTGAGGCAGGCTTTGAAAGTAGAAGATTCGGAAAGATCACAGGTGTCTTTGTAGCTCTGGTCACGTGTGGTGTTATGGTCGTGTGAACAATACTAAGGTTAGGTGGAGGGCACGAGGCAAATTAGTCAATGTGGTTATGAAAGTTTACCCATTGGATTGTCTTGGATAGGTGTTGGGCATACTGAACCATCTCCTAGATCGATGGTGGACAGGCAAAAAGAAGGCTCAGAAAAGGTGAACCAAGGCATGATGCCAATCAATGAGGTTTCTAATTTTTGACCTGAGCTGTATAGGGAGTTGTAGGCTGCCTGGTTGCGGTTTTTGAGATAAAAGGAATAAATGATTAGTGATTCTTGGTAACATAGCTGAAAATCATTCGCGGTTGCGCAGATGTATGCAGTCTTCGTTATCTTGAAAGCTGTGCACATTTCGTTAACCTTCATCTTTTTGTTTTGTCTCCCAGTGCACTTTTGTCTACTTTGATATCACTTTTTTCTACTCACGTGTTATTTGTACGCTGCTGTAGTTTGTGGCAACTTGAACCAATATAATTCTGCGCGAGATTCTACGTTCTTTTGTCAGTCTGTCATGGTTTATTTCCTCTCAATAGTAGTTGTGGTTCTCTAGCACCATTGGTTTAGGTGAGTCGGCTTTCAACCAGTAGTAAGTCAGTCAGTCATAATCCACCCCCTGAGCTTGAAACAGGTATATAGATTGGGTGTGGTTCATTGCCTAGTATGCTTCGATCGTAATTGAGCTGTATTTATTTTTTAAACATTATATGTGATCTTCTTTAAGAGGTTTTTTAAATAATACTATAAACTGATAAGATGAACTGTAACTAATCTGCGTGTCCTTATTCTCCTGCACACTGTTAAACTGGATTATTTCAAGCATGTACTTGAAAACTGTTTGATTAATTAATGTCTATTTAGTTCTTAAAGTTCTCACCATGTACATTATTGATTATTTTACCAATTGCTTATACTGTTCAATTTCACGCCTTTGACATGTATTGTGATTACAATGTTCATTACATCATGCTGTACGCAAAAATCAACCGAGCCTAATTCGCTAACTGTAAATTATTGGAGCACGAAGAAGTAGTAGTTAATTAAGAAGACTACAGTGGAAATTAAAGCATACTTTTTAGTTCAGCAGTACAAAAGAAGCCTACTGATGTGTTAATAATCAAATGAAAACACATTTTTAAAGTCTTTCTTGATTACTGTTCATTGTTAAGTTTTCATTTACCATTGTAAAATTCTGCTTGTTTTCACTTATCATGAAGGAACGTTTGGAGTTGTTTGGTTGTTTTCGCTTGAATTCAAGTATTTTTGCTCTATTGGGTCGTTGTCAAGAATTGAGAGCATTGGCCTTTGGACATCTTCATCATCTGTCCTCAGATGGTCTACTGGAACTTGTAAGCAAAGTAAGTTGATGATAATCATAGGTCTTGTTGCATTGTTACTACTATATCTAGTTTCTTTTCCAAGTCAGGTAAATTAATAGTTTTCCGAAGTACCTCATCTCAAGTCTTAGTCAAGCTTACTTCACTGAGTTCTGGCTCATCATTGCTGATTCGCTCAAATAATCCAAAATACCTATCTAGTTCCATCTACTGTTTCTATCTGAACTGTTTGTTGTAATCATCTGGTTTCTTAGCATAAGCTTTACAAATCTTTCCGAGCATATGATATACACGGATACGTTCGCAGTCTTCACTCTTGGCATGAATATACTATTTGATTTCCAGAGAGGTATAAGGAAGTTAATATAACCTCATTGTTTGTGCACGAGATTTTCTCCAAAATCATAATCGGGTTTCTTTTCTTTTGTGAATGGAACCAATATTTCTCTACTTTTCTACTAGATAAACAGTTTTTAACCAATTGATTTAGGTTTGATATGATTATTGTATACGAAAACAGAATTTCTCTCTCTCCTACCCCTTTCCAACCAACCAAACTTTCAAAAGCACGGATTTTTATACTTTCCTAACCTATCCGTTTTCCGATTTTGACTACAACACTGTCGTTGAAAATTGCGATTTTGAAGCGCTTGCATATCAACAGAACTGAATGAGATTTTACACTTCTAAGGAAGCAAGTAATGAAATTTATAGGGATTGTTTTCTAAAGTAGTGTCCGTCACGGACTAAAATCAGTTGAATAACCGTTAAAAACCTGGGAGCACTCGGCAGCTGTTTCGTCCTGTTGTTGGACTCCTCAGCAGTCCGCACCTGCATCTCTACCAGAGGTCGAAATCAGGACCTTCAAGTCTCGCGGCGATCGTGTTAACCATATTTAGCCACCTGGTTGAAGTCTAGTGGTCCACAATCTCTAACTTGTCTATATTAAGCGACTATCCATCAGGGTCCTCAGTCGGCATCTGCTTTACTTACGACTGGTTGACTCCACAAGTCCTGGCTTCTCATTAGAACTTCAAGATATCCATCTCAAAGCTTGTTACTAAGGCGTATTATACAGATTTTCAATGGTTTTACAACTGATATCAATCTGTGATGAATGCTATCTTAAAAACAATAATAGTGACTTTTAAAGGATACAGACTGAGATTTCTATTACTGGCTAGCTATTATTATTATGCAAGTGAATTAAAGTGCAGACCATATAAACAAATAAATATATCATGCGTAAGGTTAACACATGTTTGTTTTATTTCCACATCTACCACTAGTTTTTAATCAGTGTCATGCCGCCCTTCAAAGCTATCATGTCTACTGACCTATAGTCAGTCTTCACCTTTTACTTTTTTATGAGTCAGTCAAAATCATCATGGGACCTGGCATCGTTACGCAACAGTCCCAGTTGCCACACTTCGAATTTTCTCAAACCAAGATGATAGGTGGGGAGATAGGGAAAACACTAGTCACAATGATCATTTGCATACTGTGATGGACTGAACACACCAGTGACCTTGAATAGATACCACCGATTATTCCAACCGAAGCCTATAAATGAATGAACCAGCGTATCCTGTTTATAAAAACTGATAACAATGTCAAAAATACCTCAGATACATGTTACTGCTGAATGAGTTATCATAGTTTCATCTGTTAGCTTTTCGTTTCATAAATGCGGAATGACTTTGTGCACCTTTGTGATGGTTTCTGTTGACTTGCCTGTCACAGGAAAGATAACTTTGAACGACCAATCTGGAAGGGAAGGTACTAGGCAAGTCGATTAATGAGGTTGTGAGCCTTAGTCGACTGTGATGGTATGGAACTGTATTGCGCATACCGAACCACCACCTACCTTGACGTACCTTGTTAATGATAGCTGGATTAAGTTGGAAGCGGGAGACCAGACCAAGACCTGGCACCAGTCGATTAAGTCACTGACTGTTGGTCTGAGCCGTATAAGAAAATGTAGACTATCTGCCTGGAGTCCTCGAGACGATAGGAGTCAGTGGTTGAGGACTCTTGGGGACATGGTTGAAACTTTGTCCTAGTGGCGCAGATGTATTCACTTTTTATCGTCTTCTAAAGTTTAAATATTTTCACTAACCTTTATCATCAGATTGTTTATTCTTTGACACTACTTTATTTCCTTTGAAACCAGTCATTTTCGATTCACCTGTTCTTTGTGTACTACTTTGAAATGTGACAACTTGAACCGATGCACTTTCCTACGAGGTTCTACGTTGATTTTGTTAGTCAGTTTGTCTATGCTGTTCCTTCACTAGACTTTTGCAGAAAAGATATCTTGAAAACTTTTAAAGCCATGTATATAGCTATTTCAATATTTGCTAAAGCAACCTATCTTATTGAGATTTCTGAAGTGTCTGAATGCAGCGCCATGATTATAACTCCTCTTTTTCTCCCTGAGGATTAGAGTTTAAAAATTTTAGCATACCAGCACATAATTATAATTGTCGAAGCAGTGTGCATACTTTTATATACCCGTAACAAAAATATATTTGGAAAGGATAACCATTTCTCTTGAACACTTATTTAACCATCGGGGTAATTTTTCCTAAACACGATTGAAATAAAGGTTAGTCTAGACTCCTGCCACAGTTAATTCTCTGTTATGTTCACTAATTGGTTTGTTGTTTACCTTATTGAAAAAGAGTTATTGTCTGTAAATTTTCTAATTTGAATTGTGCTGTTATCATGTGGGAAAAAATAAAGTGATGAGTATCGAGAAAACCTTAAAACGGCGATTCAGCACATGTTATTTTCGCCAACGTAGTCATAACAAGCTGAAATCTACGCTTTATGGGCAGTAATTTATCTAGAAAATTGTACTAGCCTTTTGACTAACTACTAGAGGGAATTAATCGGTGTCACAACTCACCTATATCAATCATCTGTTTTTGTACAACTAAACTTAATTAACTAATCCAACTTGGCTCGCTACTAAGCTATGATTATTATTTGTCCCTTGGGTTCTAAGTGGAACATGGGGCTTCAGTAGCACATCGCCATTGCACTCTGTTCTCGGCAGTCTTTTGAACCTGGCTCCACCACTGCCCACAAGCTCTCGTTTCTTCCTCACATGATCTCCTCCATGTCACCCTCGCCTCGAACGCCCAACTCGTCATTTCCCCTTTGGATTCCACTCGAGGGCTTGGTCTGGCGCGTGATGTCCTTGAATGGTTTTCTCAGTGTATGTCCAATCTAATCCATCTGCGCTTTCTTCTGCATGTTTGTTGGGCTATAGGTTCCTGGTTGGTTCGTTCCCAGAGTTCCTCCTTGCTTATTCTTATTATTCTGGCCATCTGATCTCATCTTCAGTATCGAGTGAGCTAGCGTAGGCGGCAGCTGTTGATGAATGTCTGTAGTTTGTTGGAGGTGCTTTTGGTGACGCGCCAAGTCTCTGAACTACCACATAGAAACACTGACTTGACTGACATTGGTGTTGAAAATCTGGATGTTGTTCACGCTTTATGCTGAGTGAAGTGTAGTGCAGTAGATCTGCACACTGATTTCAGGTAAATGAGTGCCTACCTTGCTTTTCCGATCGTGGTTTTGATGTCCTGATGTGTGCCTGTGTCGCCTGTGGTTGGAGTGATGCTGCCTTCGTGAGTAGGTAGGTGAAAGAGATAGCTTCCTTTAAGTTTCTCCCGTTGATGGTGATTGGTGCTTGTTGTTGTTGTTGCTGTTGGTTGGGTATCCTCATCACCTCTGTCTTCTTTACGCTGACTTTGAATCCTGTCTTCGCCACCTCTTCTGCCAACTTGTGTACTAGGCCATGATTAGTACTTGTTGTGTTTTGTAACAGTTTACGACATTGTCGAAGAAGCTCGGGGAGTGGTGTTTGAACTCAGAATCCATGGCTTAGAAGTTGAATGCGTCAGTCAATGAAGCACACCTCAAAGACCCTTGAATCTGATGTAGTGAGTGAATCTGTTTTGTATAAAAACATCAGATGATGATATCCGAAATATCTAGTGTTCATAATCACAGAATGTTTCTCAAACGGTACCTTCTTTTGTCTTTTTACTACCCAAACAACTCTTACCTTAGCATCTTTTTTAGTTAGCACCACACCGTCCAGAGAACAGCGATCATTGAGTTGTGCCATTTTTGCAAACTTTCATCTTATTTAAAACGTGGTTCTTTTGTTGTACCTGACTGGCTGGTTTAACTAATATTGGATTATATCTATGTACTGTGTATGCATATGCGTTCCTTTTACTCAATTGAATCGGTATGATGTCTTTGATCGATCAATCTGCAGATTTTTCAACCTACCCTTGCGCAGATTTGTATCACTTATCAGGTTAGGTGATAAATTTGCGTAAATGGCCTATGTTGTAACCACTGTAGCCGACTCTAGACAAGCCAAACAAATAGAAAAATGCACAACCTCATACAAAAGTGCATTAATCCTGTTTACTGTAAGAAGCCGATTGCCTTCAACCAACTGACATCTATCAAAGTGCACTGCGATAGTGAACCTTCTAGCTTGGTCGTCATATTGAAAAATGATAGACAGAATTCGTTCAGCACTCAGGTCTGGAAAACATAAAA